GGGGAAGGCCGAGTTGAATGGTATTTCTATTTTTAGTTTTTTGAGGAACCTCCATACTGATTTCCATAGTGATTATTTTCAAATGTTAAGCCAATGTTCAATTTCTGAGATAAATCCCACTGGATTACAATGGATACTCCATTTTATACACTGCTAAATTTGGTTTGTTCATATTTGGTTAAGATTTTTATACCTGGGCCGGGGATTTAGCTCAGTGGTTTTGCCGCCTGCTATGCAAGGACAAGGACCTGAGTTCAATCCCCGGTACCAAAAAAAAAAAAAAAGATTTTTGTACCTATGTTCACAACAAATTTTCTTACAATATCTTCACCTTGGCTTTTGTATCAAAGCCATATTGGTCTCAGAGAATGAACTTGAGAAGTGTGGCAGACCTCCCTGTTGATTATGCCCAAAGCAGGTTGTAAACAGTGCAGGCTGTAAAGAGTTAACCCCGCAATTGGCTTAAGAAGTGAGTCTGACCAAAGCATATGAGATTACATACAGCCGAAGTCACAGTGACTCTGACCCAAATTCTGTTCCCAGCCTAACATAAGAATGCTTTGTCTCTTCTCTTACAAGCCTTGCCTGCATCAGCAATGTATCCCTAGCAGCAACCACATGTAGCCCCTTCATGTATCCCCTTACTCCAACTTAATTATGATTGTCACCAATAAATATCTACAGTTTTAGCTGGCCAGGGTCTTTGCTTGCTCAAGCACTGGTCATCCCAGTTTTCCATCTGTCTCTTTAATTCTGTTCCTAAATCTTTCTTCTAGCCCTACATTGTTGGCACTGAGGAGGAGATTGGGATCCTTAGCATAGGTCTCCGACAGAGGAGTGTTATTTTCGAGGCAGGTGACAGAACCACTGAGCTAAATCCCTGGCCCCTTTTATTTTCTCCCTTATTTTTGGAGAGAGTTTGTGTAGGATTAGTATATTTGTTCTTGATCTAATTAGGTTTTACTCATCCTTCTGATCTCATTGTAACAGTTTCCCAGGAAAAGCTTATCTGATTTTCTTAACTAGGTCCATTTCCTTTAAGTGTAATAGCTTGTAAATAATAGTTTTTCTTAGCATTTATCATAGAACACTTTTATTCATTAGTAGGATTGTTTTTTTTCTTCCATCTTACCAAACCTCCATAAAAAGAAAAATGTTGTGTTTTTGCTTACCATTATGTAAATCTAGTTACTTCTCAGACACATTGTAGGTAGGCACTCAACAAATATTTGTTAAATGAAGAATATATAATGGCTACTTTAATTTACTTTGGTATTTCTTTCCCTGTTTTGGGTTATTACTATTTCCCCTCTCTAGAATGGTTTGTTTGCTTTTTGTTTTTTGAAACAGGGTCTTGCTATACAGTTAAAGCTGGTTTTTGAACTCACTATGCTTGCCCTTAAACTCATGGCAATCCTCCTGTCTCAGTCTCCTAAGTACTGGGATTACAGGTATGCACCACCACACCTGGTTTAGGGTCTTCAATATTAATTTGATTCAGGCTGGAGATTTAGCTCAGTGGTTCCGGTGCCTGCCTTGCAAGCTCAAGGTTCCAAGTTCAATCCCCAGTACCAAAAAAAA